AGTAGCACAGAAACTTCCTCCTCAACAAGAATTGGAAAATTGGCAGAAATAGCATTTTGCTTGTACTGAAGGGAATTTGCTTTTCAGGATCCAGCACCACACATAGAGTCTCCTTCATTTGTCCTAATTTAAACCCTGGATTAATCAGAGGAATGGAGGAATGGAGAGCTTACGCTCTGTAGCCTTTTCCTTCACAGTACGAGGGTCTATTCTTTTACTAATATCCTTATCGGCTAATCGATGTCCCACTGCAGTCCACAAACGCTTGAGCGTCTATCACTGAAAAACAGTCCCATCCTAATTCAGCAGGGAGCAGCCATGAAGAAGGATCAGCAGCCCTGAGAAACCTAAGCTTTCAACTAGAAGCAGAAACAAAATAATGTTTAATTGGTTAAGAAAAGTGGAGGTCAAGTTCTTTACAACACTTTTTGCAGCACTTCCAGGGATTATTTTTTCCCCTTCTTGCATTGGGTTAATACCGTCCTCCACACAAGTGGAAAGCCTGCTGATCCATGTAATAATTTTGCTACAAGTGAGGCATTATCCCTTGTATTCCTGGCTGCTCCTGCACGCAAAGTTTGAAAAAGACGTCACTGTTGTTACAAGCCATCACGGCACATCCGATTTATAAAAACTCTATGAATGAGCGATCTCCAAAGTGTGCTATCCCCAACAGCCCTGCTCAGCTCTTGCCAACTCCACCTTGTGCCTTCCTTGATAGAGTCAATGCATCTCATATTTGTTCGTCCTCTTTTCCTGTTGCCTTCAACCTTTGCCAATATTATTGTCTTTTCCAGAGAATCTTGCGTTCTCATGATATGATCCAAGTAAAAGCCTCAGTTTCCTCATTTTTGCCTTCAGAGAAAGTTCAGGCTTGATTTGATCTAGGACCCATTTGTTCATCTTTCCGGCAGTCCAGGATATCTGCACAACTCTTCCCCAGCACCACATTTCAAATGAATAAATATTTTTCCCTCTCAGCTTTCTTTACAGTCCAGCTTTCACACTCACACATAGTGATGAGGAAGACAATAGGTCTTGGCCTTGGTCTCCAGTGATACATCCTTAGACTTGATGACCTTTTCTAATTCTTTTATTGTTGCATTTCCGAGTTGCAGTCTTCTTCCAATTTCCTCAGTGCAGTCTCCATTTGGATTGGTGATCAGACCAAGGTATACAAAATCTTTTCTACTTTTTCCTTGTCAACATTAAAGTTGTATAGTTCTTCAATAGTCAGGATTTTTGTCTTCTTAATGTTCAGCTGCCGTCCTGCTTTGGCAGTTTCTTCTTTCACTTTTGCTAAAAGTCATTTCAAGTCATTGCTGCTTTTTGCCATTAAGGTGATGTCATCTGTGTATCTTAAATTATTATCTGAATAACAAAAACAGTGTTTCAAGTTGAGTAATAGTTCTTGCATGCCCATAGAATAAAGAATTACATACTGTCCAGTCCGATTCCATTATAAATAACCTGAATATTTAAATTCAGGTTTTAACTCAATTTAAATGTAGGTGATTACACAATGTATTCACGAGCACAGATTAATTTGACAGGAAATTGGGTTTTTCCTATGCAGCAGAGAGTTTTTTTAGGCCTCTGCCAGAGGTTTGTTTATTTTAAGGTAAATGTGGAATGATTTCATTGAAATCAGTTTCACATATGTGAACACCCCGTCTGTGTTTTTTAAACTTTGTGCTGTCTGATACAGCACTATACCTGATACAGCACTATACTAGATACAGTAGATAGATAGATAGATAGCTAGATAGATAGATAGATAGCTAGATAGATAGATAGATAGCTAGATAGATAGATAGATAGCTAGATAGATAGATAGATAGCTAGATAGATAGATAGATAGCTAGATAGATAGATAGATAGCTAGATAGATAGATAGATAGCTAGATAGATAGATAGATAGCTAGATAGATAGATAGATAGCTAGATAGATAGATAGATAGATGGACGGACGGACGGACGGATGGATACCACAGCAGCGATACAAGGATTATGGTCTGCTTGTGGATGCTTGGCGTGGGCTTCTGTTGTGCTTCCACTCATTGCCCCATGCAGCTGACAGGCAGGGCACTGCACCAAACAGGTGGCCCTGCCTCCCTGCCTACTTGCTTGCTCATCCCCAGTCAAAACTGAGTGCAGTGGCAGTGGCAACAGCAGCAGAAGCAAGGGGGCTACATTGCAACAGCTGGTGTGCTGAGAAGTAGAGCTGGCCCTCTCTCTGTTCCTGGGCCAAGCCACTGGCCCCGATCCCTCCTGGTCCTATTGCATGCCCAGCAGCTGCGGAAAGGCTACATGGTGGCTTCTCAATGTGTGCCCAGGCCAGATCAGGGACACCAGGTGATTAGCCATGGAGGCAGAGGGGGGTGGGAGTTGGGGTGGTATCCTTATCCCTATTGCTGGCTCCAGCTGCCAAGAATCATCCACTCCTCAGTGCAAAGAAGAACAAAAAGGGGAGCCAAGCCCACCAAGCGGGCACACAGGGACCGCTCTTGCCCTTTGCCTCCTGGGAACGCAAACAGCTATTCGAATACTGCTTGACAGTCACATGGTTTCTAAATCAATTCCATTTAGAACAGAGCTTATTGCAAGGCAAATGTAAATGTAGCCAAGCCCTCTGACTCATGTCGTCAGAGGGCTTGGCTACATTTACATTTGCCCAAGCCCTCTGACTCATGTCGACCCTTTCCAAGGTTTTCTGGGTCAACAGCACTCAAAAGCCATTTACCATCCTCTTCTTCTGGGGCTACTCTCTAATTGCACAGCTTACCCAAGGCTATGTTGTTGTTTAGTCGTGTCCGACTCTTTGTGAGTTGGACTATAGAAGCTGGTTTTTCGTCCAGAAGAGACAGTGGGAATTGAACCCTCAACCTTTGGCTTTGCGTCTAGGTGCCAAACCCCCGGAGTTAACCCACCAACCTAGACTCTTGAAGCTCCACAATGATCTCACAGTCCTGAATTGAGCTTGCTTTCTAATGACAGCCCTTGGAGCCCTTCCAGTTGACCCCCTGAGCCTCTTCTTCTTCTCCTCGACCCAAACCATTCTCTAAAGTCTGACTTTGCATACTACTTGCTTAGACTGCCGCACCCTGGTGCACATCAAGAGTGTCATCCTAAAGCACTGCAACTGCATGTAGGGTATCCACAACTGTTAGGAACAGCAGCCCTATGTTTGCAGATGTTAACACAGGGCTGAACTTTGGGGAGAAAATGCAGCTCGGGGTCAGAGCACATCAGAAGATTCCTGGTTTCTTTCCCAAAATTTCCAAACAGAGCTAAGAAAAGAATCCTGGCTGAATTCATGGAGATCAGATGCCAGTCAGAATTAAACAGAGATAGACCAATGGCTTCATGTAGTAACTTCCAATGTTTCCCCACCCTCTGCCCTATTTTAATGCGTCATTAATTGCTTCTCCAGAAGCCACCGTGTCCTGCCTTTTGTCTCTGAAAGAGTTAATCGTTTGGCGAGAAGCCTGATTAGAAAGCCAGCCAGCAGTATTTACATTTCAAAATCGTTCTCTTCTCAGGCACCCTTAATTACACATCCCTGCCAATTACAGCTAAGGTCAAATTACTCCTCTGGAATCACTGGTGATGTTGCTTCCTACATGACACCCCATACACCACCAATGAATATCAAAGCCCTGGAATAACCTGAAATTAATTGAGGCTGACAACACTCCAGTCTTGTTGAATGTTGCGAGTCTTTGTTTTTGACAACCGGGGATCGGATTAGGAGAAATCCGCAGTCCTCCTGAAAGTGATCCGTTTTGATGCTAAATCAGGGTTGGGAAAATTTGGTGTTCGGGACTGCTGCTCCCACAGTCTTCCACAGATTTGGGGAGTGGTATATCAAAAGCCAGACTTTTCCCAGCCATGCAGCAAATTCAGCCTGTAGCTTTGGAGGCGAGATGTCCAGATGCCAAATGCAGAAGACATGCCACAGGAGAGGGGCTTGTCTTGCTAATCAACAGAGCGCCTGTCTCTATGACTGACCTCCTGTCTCAACCACACTTCCCAATTCTTGATGCTGTGGGTGGCCACTGCCCACAACAAGGAGGCCCAGAAAATGTTCAACAAGGAACTGGGTCTTCTCAGTGGTGACCACCTCGCTGTAGAATTCCCTTCTGGAAGAGATGCCCCAGGCTTCTGCCCTCCTTAGTTTCAGGAAGCAAATCAAAACCTGGCTTTTCACCCAAGTCTATGATGACTCTATGTGCATTATTTACAGCTCATTGTTTAACTGTGGCTCCTACAAGCCTCCTCATATTTCCACTATCTTGGGGGTTGTGATAGATCCTTGGGTTTTGAGGTGGGCTTTGTTGTTGTTGTTTATTGATTTAATTTTGCCTATAGTGTTTTGTTGCTTATTCCTTTTGTAGCTGCCCAGAGTAGTGGCTTACTGCAAGGTGGGTGGGGTATAGGGTTGGTAAATAAATAAATATTACTGCAGAGCTGAAAAAGGGGGAACCTGTTTCTCATTCATGGTTGCCCATAAAGATAATATCTGGCCTCTCTGGAAAATAATGTCACACTATACACCGATTCCAAAAGGGTAGGAGAGGCGAAGGGCCCTCCGCATGTTTTAGGACTTCCTTTTTTGGCATCATCCTTAAGGATTGGCGATGAAGGCCAGAAGAACTTTGAAATGTGTCTGGAATCAAAGCCATTGTATCAGTTCTGAGATTAGCAAGAAGATATTCTTCCTACATCGGGCACCAGTTCAGATATTTATTTTGCACTCACTGCTGTTTACAGTCTTCAGAGGCAGCCCCCTGTACAACATAGTTCAGTAGCCTATTCTCCAATGATGTTTGGCAACCAGCTTTGGTTCCATGTGCCATGATTTTCTTAGGCAAAGTTCTTCCTATGATTGGACCATCCTAAAGAGGAAGAGTGTTTGGGACTGTTCCAGTTCTTTTATGTAGTTCCTTCTTTAAGTATGTTTTTTGTCTAAACTCCCTCTGTTTTCCTTTTCTCACCAGTGTTTGGACAGAAGAGACCCAGTGCACCCTCCTCAACGTCTCCATCACAGAAACCTTTAACTGCTCATTCAGCTGCGGTCCCGAGTGCTGGAAAACTTCTCAGTACCCCTGCTTGCAGGTGTACGTCAATGTATCTTCTTCAGGGCAAAAGTACTTACTTTACCACACAGAGGAGACCATTAAAATTAACCCTGAGGTAAGAATATAGCCCACCGCGGACCGGTTTTCCAAGCAATTTGTTTGCAAGGGCTGGGGGGAGGGGCTGTTTCATGTTGTTCTGAAATTTACAACGAAATCAATTCAAATATGCTCCCCTTCCACAGAGAAGCAGATCATCCTGCATTTATTTTTTATCCCTGGGATGAAGTGGATTGGTAGCCATGAAAGCTCACAATGACATGAATCTGCTAGTCCTATTTTTCCGTTTTGCTTCGAGTTTCATTTGGTTGCGATTCAGAAAAAGATGCTGGGAAAGTGCAGCCATGGTGGCCGTGGCTGTGGCTGCAGTTGTTTCACAAGGGGAAGTTTCTAGACCTCATGATAATAAATGTCTGGAAAATGAAGGACATTGTGGTGGAAAGGATCTGGTGGCCCATGTCTGTGAAGCACATGGCTTGCTTAGTCATCCCCCACCCCTTCATGACTTCCATTAACATTCCCTCTTCTTCCAGCCTCAAGATCCCCAAATGATTTCCCCACATCTGCTGATACAAAACTGCTCCCTGTTAAAAATAGATCAATAAATGCTTTCTGAGAATACAGCAATATCAGATTCGGGATTAAACAGGTCATTTGTGCAACTTAATACAAACAAATGAATCGATTTGACAAAACTTAGCATTTTCTTTAGGGACAATTTGCTTTTTCTTGGATTTTGCAAGAATTTTAATGCAACTGTATTGCACAATGAAGGGAAGTTTGATTCTTCCTTCGCAGCTGTGCTCTCTTTAAAAAATGAGAAACTTTTGTTCGTAAGCCTTAGAAGTCTGGTGGAATGCATTTATGAGGGGGGAGAGAAGGGTGGAAACTCACCTTCTCCCTGTGCTCTGGTCTCAGTGAAAAGCCAGAGAAATATCATTTATTAATATTTTTTGCAGCTCTGACACTGTGTCTCTGATGATGCATTTAGTGCCACATGGAATCGGACCCTTCAAGGAAATGGGTTTTGGCTGGAGTTAGTTTAGCAGGAAGCAGCCTTGGAAGTTGCTACAGGGTTTGTGCTCCTCATCTTTGCAACTTAGGGCATGGTTACATTAATGAAATACACTAGATTCTGGATCAGGGATTTTTTTCCAAATTGATGTAAAGTCACATGATAATCACTTGGGTTTTGTGTCACTGTTTGCATCCCCTTGGGAAGACTTTTAATCCAGTGTTAAGCTTAGTCTCAGACCGATAAGGGAACTGCATGGAAATTCCCTCTTTTCCACTCTGGTGCTTGTTGCCCCTCAGAGCCACTCGCTGCTGCTGCCGGGGTGTTATTTTGAATACTTATTTTAATGTTTTATTTCTTCCAAAGTGAGATAGTGCTAATTCAGTATTACAGATAGGAGGAAAGGAAACAGACATACACACAGACACACACTGCCACGCTGCAATCTCATCGGAGTCCCATAGGGGCTGCTTCCTGACTTCCTTTTTGGAGCCTCTAATTTCATTATCTGGATTTCTCTCTTCCCCCCCCTCTCTATTTCTTGAAGGTGGGCATTCCTGTTGAGTTGAGGCAGGATGAGGGATAAGAGACAGCCAGAGAAGAGAAGAGGTATCCTTCCCCCTCCCCATTTCTTCACCTCCGTTCTGGAGGAGGAGGAGGAAGGCTCCTCTTGCACTAAATATTTTAAGTGACAGCAGCCTCCTCTCCTTGCCTGAAAATCTTTGACGAAGCAGCTACACTATGGGTGGTGCAGCTGCAGGAAAACTCATTTTTTAAAAAAAAATGCAAACATACTGCTGCATTGCATAAGCAGTTACATGATGTACAATTAATTTTTTAAAAAAATTATCTGAAAGATATTTATGCCTCCCATTACCCTGCAGCCTGAAACGCATGAGCCTGGCATCCAATATCTGACAAATTCACAGACACAATTTACTGTAACAGAAGCACTCACATATGCCGAAACCCTTCAAAATAAATTTGTGTCACAAGCAAGTTAAAATAAACAACCCTTTGGCAGCTGATTAAAAAACCCTCAATTTATAACCAAAAAATGCATGTTGGCCATCAAAATAAATCCATGCTTCCCTGTGTTGTGTAGTCAGAACTTTTAAATTGATTAGAAACATGCTAAACCTGATTCCCCCTTCACGGATTGCTGCCTTGTTATGGCAAACGGGCTTGAGTAATTCAGAGAAGCTATTGGCTATGCTGTACAGGGACACCCAAGATGGACAGGTCATCATTGAGAGTTCTGACTAAATGCGATCCACCTGGAGCAGGAAATGGCAGGCCATTTCAATATCTTTGCCAAGAAAACTCCATGGACAGAAACAAAAGGCTAAAAGATATGATGCTGAAAGATGAGGCCTTCAGGTCAGAAGGTGTCCAACATGCTACTAAGGAACGGTGGAGGACAAGTAGCTCCACAGCTAATGAAGTGGTTGGGCCAAAGCTGAAAGGACGCTCAGCTGCAGACGTGCATGGAAGTGAAAGGAAAGTCCAATGCTGCAAAGAAAATATGCATAGGAAACTGGAATGTAAGATCTATGAATCTTGGTAAGCTGGATGTGGTCAAACAGGAGATGGCAAGAATAAACATTGACATCCTTGGTTTCAGTGAACTAAAATGGACAGGAATACATGAATTCAATTCAGACTGTAAATTATAGAATGATTTCAATACGAATCCAAGGCCGACCTTTCAACATCACAGTAATCCACGTTTATGAACCAGCCATCGATGCTGCAGAGGCTGAAATTGAACAATTCAATGAAGACAGAGGCTAAAATGGAACAATTCAATGAAGACTTACAACACCTTCTAGAACTGACACCAAAGAAAGATTTCTTCTCATTATAGGGCTCTGGAATACTAAAGTAGTGAGTCAAGAGATAAAAGGAACAACAGGTATGTTTGGCCTTGGAGTTCAAAACAAAGCAGGGCAAAGGCTAATAGAGTTTTGTCAAGAGAACAAGCTGGTCATCACAAACACGCTTTTCCAACAACACAAAAGGCAACTCTACACATGGACATCACCAGATGGGCAATACCGAAATCAGATTGATTATATTCTCTGCAGCCAAAGATAGAGAAGCTCTATACAGTCAGCAAAAACAAGACCTGGAGCTGATTGTGGCTCTGATCATCAGTTTCTTATAGCAAAACTCAAGGAGAGACAAGAAGGCCTTCTTAAACGAACAGTGCAAAAAAACAGAGGAAAAGAATAGAAAGGAAAAAACAGAGATCTGAAAATAGAAGATATTAAAGGAGATATTAAAGAACATTTTGTGCAAAGATGGACATGATAACGGACAAAAATGGTAGGGACCTTACAGAAGCAGAAGACATCAAAAGAGGTGGCAAGAATACACAGAGGAATTATACCAGAAAGACTGCTGACCTTGAGCCAGACATCAAGGAGAGCGAAGTCAAGTGGGCCTTAGAAATCATGGCTAACAACAAGGCCAGTGGAGGTGATGGCATTCCAGTTGAATTATTTAAAATCTTAAAAGATGATGCTGTTATGGCGCTAAACTCAATATGCCAGCAAGTTTGGAAAACTTAGCAGTGGCCAGAGGATTGGAAAAGATCAGTCTACATCCCAATCCCAAAAAGGGCAGTACCAAAGAATGTTCCAACTACTGTACAATTGCAGTCGTTTCATATGCTAGCAAGGTTATGTTCAAAATCCTTCAAGGTAGGCTTCAGCAGTATGTGGACCGAGAACTCCCAAAAGTACAAGCTGGATTTCGAAAGGGCAGAGGTACTAGAGACCAAATTGCTAACATGCGCTGGATTATGGAGAAAGCCAGAGTTCTAGAAAAACATCTACTTCTGCTTCATTGACTACGCAAAAGCCTTTGACTGTGTGGATACGACAAGGCTGTATATTGTCTCCCTGCTTATTTAACTTATATGCAGAATACATCTTGGCAAAGGCTGGACTGGATGAATCCCAAGCCAGGATTCAACAGCTTCAGATATGCAGATGATACCACTCTGAAGGCAGAAAGTGAGGAGGAATTAAAGAACCTCTTAATGAGGGTGAAAGAGGAAAGCACAAAAAATGGTCTGAAGCTCAACATCAAAAAAACTAAGATCATGGCCACTGGTCCCATCACCTCCTGGCAAATAGAAGGGGAAGATATGGAGGCAGTGACAGATTTTAGTTTCTTGGGCTCCATGATCATGGCAGATGGTGACAGCAGCCACAAAATTAAAAGACTCCTGCTTTTTCGGAGAAAAGAGATGACAAACCTAGGCAGCATTTTAAAAAGCAGAGACATCACCTTGTCAACAAAGATCCGCATAGTCAAAGCTATGGTTTCTCCTGTATATATGTATGGAAGTGAGAGCTGGACCATAAAGAAGGCTGACTATCAAAGAATTGATGCTTTTGAATTGTGGTGCTGGAGGAGGCTCTTGAAAATCCCCTGGAGTGCAAGGAGTTCAAACCTATCAATTCTTAAGGAAATCAATCCTGAATGCTCACTGGAAGGACAGATTCTGAAGCTGAGGCTCCAATATTTTGGCCATCTCAAGAGAAGAGAAGACTCCCTGGAAAAGACCCTGATGTTGGGAAAGTGTGAGGGCAAGAGGAGAAGGGGATAACAGAGGACGAGACGGTTGGACAGGGTCATTGAAGCTACCAACATGAATTTGATCCAAGTCCAGGAGGCAGGAGTGCTCTGGTCCATGCAGTCATGGAGAGTCGGACACGACTTAATGACTCAACAACAACAAATAGAGCAGAAGCATTCTTGTTCCCAGCTGTTAAGGGGTTTAGATATGGCTCCCTCAGATCTGTATACCAGAGGACATTCTGTTAGATAGTGTACCATGTCCTTCATGACTTAAGAACTAAACAACAAGAAGAAAAACCTGATTCAAAAACAGGTTACTGAGCTCTCAAATGCAGCATTGACATTTTATCCACCTTCTCTAGAAGCTAAGGGTGGGGGGAATCGTTTTTTTTAAATGTGCTGGAGGAAAATTTTGTGGATGCCCTGGACCACCAGAAAGAAGAAGTAGGTCC